CAGATCTTCATGCTTCCATTACCAAGCACCGCACCCCCTTCCCAGGTCACTTTTATTCGCTCTCTTACTTGCCACCACTTCCCTTTCCCTGATTAGACCTCCCCTTTTTCCTTACTAGGAACCACTCCCCACCCCAAGTCACATTCACCTAGTGTACATATCTAACATCTCTCCCATCAGGCATCACTTCCCAAAGTCACATCTATCCTCAGTCTTATCAGACACCACTCCCATCTCCATGGTCACATCTATCCTAAGTTTTATCAGGCACCACTTCCATCTCCAAGGACACATCTACCCTTTCTTACTAGGGCACCATTCCTTTCTGCAAGGGCACATCTACCCTCTATCTTACGAAGGCAACACTCCCATCTCCAAGGTCATATCTACCCCCACATTTACCAAGCACTTCTCCCCATAGCCTGGTAACATCTACCCTCTCCTTTACCAGGCACTGTGCTCCTTTCCCAGGTCACATCTACCATCACCCCTACCAGGCACCGCTTCCCTCTCCAAGGTCACCTTTACCCTCTCTCTTACCAGGCACCACTCCCCTTTCCCCGATCACTTCTCTTCTCCCCCTTAACAGACTCTGTTCCATTCCTCATTATTACATTTTCCCTCTCTCTCTCCATTCCCTGGCTCCCTACCACTTATACTCATCAAGTCACAGATATACGAATGTCTTCTGCACAGAAATCACAACATAAAGTTTGTGTAACTACAACAAAAAAGCATAACGTGAACCCTTAGCACTTGTGGAGTGACTGGAGAATAACATGCCAGACAGCGGAGGGATGATAGTGTCAGCTGTGAGTGAAGGGATGTGATCACAGTGACAGACAACTAAGTCTATGTACAGAGGGGATCATCCTTACACAAACAAATGCTTTGAGTGCTTAGTGTACCACTGACACAAATCAAGATAGAAGCAGCCCACTGTAACGTGCAGAACTCAGAGGCTTGAGCTGAGGAGGTGCCTCTAATGAGTGCTCATCACAGTCTTGGACAAAGAACAGACCTACATCATTTACAATAACAATTTATACATCAGAACTGAGCCAGACGTTTCACTTCACTGGCAGAACTATTTTCAAAGTTACCTAAAGGGGAGATCTACCTAAAGCCAACACTATTAGTTATGGATAGAGCAGGAAAATTATTAAACTGGACAGATTACCTTTACATTCTGTCTCAAAAACACAACAGGAAGTGAGAGAAAATCTATCCAAATTGAGATAAACCTTCACTGAGACAACTGTTACCGGAGCAAGAGTCACCAATGGAAGCTTTTTCCTATGTTTTTGTTCCAGTGGCAACTAGAATCTCATCACCATAAAGATATGAATAGCAGCAATAAACACCTGACATGGGTACTAACTGTTCTCTATACTTTTCAAAACTAAGAAAAAACAAAAAGTTTTGCCTTTAGATTTGCTTAAAAAAAGATCCAGACCTAGGTGTTAAACATCAACTGATTTGGCTGGAATTGGGCTTTCATATAAAGCTATGTTAACGATCTTCCTGGATAAGATAAATAAACAGCAAGAAGGGCTGCATTATTTACCTTTACATTGCAGAAACTTAAAATGGTACTCAGTAGTTTGTATGGCCCCCACGTGCTTGTATGCATGCCTGACAATGTCGGGGAAGGCTTCTAATGAGACTACGGATGGTGTCCTGAGGTATTTCCTCCCAGATCTGGACCAGGGCATCACTGAGCTCCTGGACAGTCTGAGATGCAACCTGGGTGCATTAGATAGACCAAAACATGATATCCCAGAGGTTTGCTATTGGATTTAGGTCAGAGAAGCGTGGGGGCCATTCAATGGTATCAATTCCTTTATCCTCCAGGAACTGCCTGCATACTCTCACCACATGAGGCCGGGCATTGTCATGCACCAGGAGGAACCCAGGACCCACTGCACCAGCGTAGGGCCTGACAATGGGTCCACGGATTTCATCCCGATGCCTAATGGCAATTAGGGTGCCATTGTCTAGCCTGTAGAGGTTTGTGGGATCATCACTGACCCACGATCAAAACGGTCATGCTGAATGATGTTACAAGCAGCATAACATTCTCCACGGCTTCTCCTGACCCTTTCACGTCTGTCACATGTGGTCATCTCATCTGTGAAAAGCACAGGGCACCAGTGGCGGACCTGCCAATTCTGGGGTTTAATGGCAAATGCCAATTGAGCTCTATGCTGCCGGGCAGTGAGCACAGGGCCCACTAGAGGATGTCGGGCCCTCAGACCACCCTCATGAAGTCTGTTTCTGATTGTTTGGTCAGAGAAATTCTGCTGGAGGTCATTTTGTAGGGTTCTGGCAGTGCTCTTCCAGTTCCTCCTTGAACAAACGAGCAGATACCGGTCCTCCTGTTGGGTTAAGAACCTTCTATAGCCCTGTCCAGCTCTCCTAGAGTAACTGCCTTTCTCCCTGGAATCTCTTCCATGCTCTTGAGACTGTGCTGGGGTGCACAGCAAACCTTCTGGCAATGGCACGTATTGATGTGCCATCCTGGAGGAGTTGGACTGCCTGTGCAACCTCTGTAGGGTCCAGCTATCGCCTCATGCTACCAGTAGTGACACTGACCCTAGCCAAATGCAAAACTAGTGAAAAACAGTCAGAAAAGATGAGTAGGGAGGGAATAAAATGTCAGTGGTCTCCACCTGAAAACCATTCCTGTTTTGGGGGTCGTCTCATTGTTGCCCATCTAGTGCACCTGTTGTTAATTTCATTAACACCAAAGCACCTAAACTTATTAACAACCCCCTCTGCTACTTAACTGACCAAATCAATAATCCAGGAGTTTCAATGACTTGATACTATACTCTGATTAAAAAGTGTTCCTTTAATTTTTTTGAGCAGTGTATCTTTTATATTTAATAGTTCATAGATATCACCAACAGAGAACTAACTCTCTTGAAGCTGAACTCTACAGCCCTCTCCTGAGTGGGGCTGCAAAGAAGGTCTATCCTGCACTTAAATTGTTACTAAACCCAGGACCCTGCATTTACTATATCAGATCTCCCACAGTACACAGAACACGGAAATGTAATTATGTTAGAAAATATAAACTGCTAAATACCTTTTTTCTTATCAGCAGTTAGAGCCTTGTGACTTCTATCAGTGTCCAGCAGAGTAGTGGTTAAAGATTTTACCCTATAAGGCTGCAGGACCCCTGACCCTCTGTCTGGACAGGGCTGATTGGCCCTGTGCTGATTACATGAACCCTCCCCCCCCAAAAAAGAAAACTCTCTAGCATTACACACCAAACCGAGCATGTGCAGCTTGCCCTCAAGGCTCTGTACTATCAGCAGATCATTTTGTGACTGTAGAAGACGGGAAGGATCAAAGAAGACATGATTAAACATCCTTTTTACACAGTGCGGAGGATTTAACCCTTAGGTTCCACAGTGAGTATAACAAGCATGCTTTACTGGATCTAAAGACTGATTTTACTGTTGTGGGTTTAGTAACACTTTAAGTACATATTACCATAGATGATGAGAGAACTTGAAGCACTGCTCCAAGAAGAGACTAATATGTCTCCCTACCAGCATTCCGGAGATAGGAGCAAGCATTAGATTCACTCATCCAGAAGTGTTAAGTTGTATGGTATAGGATGCCACTCCAACCAACCTGGTGATGGTTCTATTAGTTCAGGCTGGTTTGAGCGGCGTCCCATACCATACAACATTACCATAGATGCTGAATACCACAGAGGTTAGTAAAGTTCACAAACTGCCATGTTGGAGACAAAGAACAAGTAGAAATGAGGCACTGGATTCAAATTATCAGGTGATCGGTCAGATCTTGATAAGACACAATGGCTCTAGTGAGAACGCTCTCCACCAAAGCAGAGTGTCTCTCAAACAGGTGGCCCAGATTTCAAAATGCATATATATAGTCTGAGAGTGCTAAACAAACCATTTGAAAGTCAAAAAACATTTAATATGAATACCTAATCAAAAATAACATAGAACAGCCAACACAGTTTGGGGCTCAAAGACATGTGCCTTCTTCAACGCTTAAACAGATTGGGTAATCATAAGGGCTCAAAAATGACACAAAGCACCATGAGTTAATTATTAGTTGTATAGGGTATAATAAAAAAAACTATGAGTCAGAAAAATCGCTGTGAACTGGCTGTTCTATGTTGTCATTTGTGAGTCAATACTAATATCAAAAGTTTTTGGACTCTTGGAGGTTGATTTACCATGCACTTCTGCACCAGGTTTTGAACCCTCTAGTTTTAGTAAATCAACCCCTCAGACTATTTGTTTGGTGCTCTCCTTAGACTTTAGAGAGATTAGAGACCAGGGCTGTGTGACATCCAAGCCTTATCTGAAACCTGTCATGGCTGAGATGGATAGGTGGCTAGGGAAATTGCTGCCAAAGATGCTTCTAGAATTGAATAGGCATTTTATGGTCTAAGATCTCAAACATCACTGGACACCGATGGTGTACACAGTCTAGGACTGGACCTGGAAAGTCCTGGCCAGGGCTATGCAAACGAAGTTTCCAAGCTGGTTATGAGACTTTGGAGCTATATGCTTTCATACCCATTACCAGAGACATCAACATCATAATAGCAGTACACAAAATCTCCTGAAGCTGCTCTCATTTGCGTAGTGTCTGGACTTTAAAGCCCTCTACTGAGCAAAATGGTGGGAGAAGGGTGGACATGAATCAAGTTCATGCAGCAATCAAGTACACAGCGTCATAGGCGGCAAGTTCCCCACAGGTTAATGAAGATTCTCTTTAGTTAGCACCATTAGGCAACTAAAAAGTCCTCTCTGTGAATCAGTGGAAAGTCATTTAGCTTTATGCTGGAGAACTTTGAAAATTTCAACTCCTTGCAAATAGATGTCAGAAGTATGTCGGCACGATTTGCCTTCTTCACCTCTGAAATATTTTATAATCTCTAATGAGCCAGCCAAGACTATAACACGGTCTGAAATCTGCATTCTTTAGGCACAGCAGAGTAATCTCACCAAGGTAGTTATCATCTTCCGGTTTTCCTGAGTAGCTGTGCTGCCGCACATCGATGTTGGTAGCACCGGCCGGAATACGCACCACAGTATTGTAGCCTGGAAGATACAAAAGAGCCAAAGCTGATTAAAGAGCCGGATGTGCTCCACAAAGCCTGTTTGATTTACATGGCTGACAAATGCATGTAGCATAACTTCAAAACACAACTTTCTATGGTAAAAGGGAACAAAGGAATGGAAATCGCCATTTAAGAGGCTATGCCTAAATGAAGACAGTGATCCATGCAATCCTGTCTGCAAAAGTTTTAATACGACATTATGTCATCTTCTCATTTTTTTGATCATGTGTTAAAATTAACCTCTGCCCAGACTATGGACAAATTCATATTCTTAAAGCTGACATTGCAGTAAAAAGCAAGGTCTGCTTAATATATCATCCCACTCAAAAAATGGAAGCACAAAGTTAAAATAAAAAAAATTGGGAAAAAAAAACGAGTAAATATATTTACCTTTCCCCTTGCTTCTGTACTGCAGGGTATGATGGCACAAATCTTTAAGTGAGATCCAAGGAATACTGAGTATATCAAGACACAGTGCTGATGCAGGTGAGGTAATATGGTGCTCTGCCCTTTAAAGTGTTTGATAGCCTTGGACATGAAAGATGAACAAAGCATATCCCTCTATAGTGTGTACTTGTCTCAAGTAAAAGCACTAAGCGTCATTCCTGTCTGCTGCTTCGTTCCTTAGTTATCAGTATGAATTACTTCTGGAAAGTTTTCCTGACACCAAGAGAAAAATGGTGACAGGGGAGGGACCTCCAGCAGACGAACAACCTTAGCTATGTTCCTGTGAGCTATGTGAAGGGGGTGTGTTTCTTCCCTCCAATCAGCCCTCAGAGCTCTCCTCACTGAGTGTAACTTTAGCCCCACCTTCCTGCTTTGGAGACCTGAGAGATCCTGTGTAAATTCTGGACTTTGAATGGATGTAGGGGACAGACAGCTATAGACAGACAGGTAAAACTTATGTAGGAGGAATTGTTTAATCTCTCTGTATCACCTGAAGCCAGTCATTTCACTGGGTATATGTAAGAGTTTACAACCACTTTAAATTACTGCCAAATCTAGGTAATTAAACCAGATCAATACACAAACCTTTACAGCTTGTTCATAAGATCTGTGATGGACATATGGTTTAGCCCATCTCAACTCTAATTTTCCTCTTCTATGGGGATCAGGGGATCAAATGCCTAGGCTTTTGGTCATGTGACCAGCACTAGAGGTAGCCCAGAACGATTATCCCGAAGAATGTGAACAGTTTTAAAAACACTTTAGAGTACATGTATTGCTGTTACTAAGTATTTGCGAAGACCACTGTGGACTACATAAAAAAACAGCTCAGGCATGTTCAAGAGTGTTAGTAAAATCACCAAATTGCGGACTAACATTCTGCATAGAGAATTGAGACAATATCTAAAAAAATTGCTGTGGCCCATTTTGTGCTTTATCTTGTCATCTGTGATGAGGTCCCTTTCAGTTGGATTAAACTCTGTGGAGGCCCCTAGGCAGTCAAAACCTTGGGGCCCCCCTGGCAGGTTTCTGGAGGCTTCATGTGCGTGCTCTAGTGGGATAACATTGAACTAACTAGTGTGCATATTGGCCACTTGACAGAGATGACCATCACTACTGTACATTACACATACATACACTATATTGCCAAAAGTATTGGGACGCCTGCCTTTACACGCACATGAACTTTATTGGCATCCCAGTATTAGTCCGTAGGGTTCAATATTGAGTTGGCCCACCCTCAGCAGCTATCACAGATTCAACTCTTCTGGGAAGGCTGTCCACAATGTACAGGAGTGTGTCTATGGGGATGTTTGACCATTCTTCCAGAAACGTATTTGTGAGGTCAGGCACTGATGTCGGACGAGAAGGCCTGGCTTGCAGTCTTCACTCTAATTTATCTCAAAGGTGTTCTATTGGGTTGAGGTCAGGACTCTGTGCAGGCCAGTCAAGTTCCTCCACCCCAAACTCGCTCATCCATGTCTTTATAGACCTTGCTTTGTGAACTGGTGCATAGTCTGTTGGAACAGGAAGGGGCCATCTCCAAACTGTTCCCACAAAGTTGGAAGCATGAAATTGCCCAAAATATTTTGGTATGCTGGCTCTGAGTTCCCTTCACTAAAACTAAGGGGCCAACCCCAACCCCTGAAAAACAACCCCACATCATAATCCCTCCTCCATCAAACTTTACACTTGGCACAATACAGTCAGGAAAGTACCATTCTCCTGGCAACCACCAAAGCCAGATACGTCCATAAGACAGAGAAGCATGATTCGGAACTCCAGAGAACACGTCTCCACTGCTCTAGAGTCCAGTGGCGGAGTGTTTTACACCAGTTGCACTTGGTGATGTAAGGCTTGGATGCAGCTTCTCGGCCATGGAAACCCATTCCATGAAGCTCTCTACGCACGGTTGTTTTGCTAATCTGAAGGCCACACAAAGTTAGGAGGTCTTTAGCTATTGACTCTGCAGACAGTTGGTTACTTCTGCACACTGTGCGCTTCAGAATGTGCTGACCCTGCTCTTTTATCTTATGTGGCCTACCACTTTGTGGCTGAGTTGCTGTTGTTCCCAGTTGCTTCCACTTTGGTATAATACCACTGACAGTTGACCGTGGAATATTTAGTAGGAAGGAAATTTCATGGATGGATTTAAGCTACTAAGAGCAACCCATTCTTTCACAAATGTTTGTAGAAGCAGTCTTCATGCTTAGGTACTTGATTTTATACACCTTTGGCCATGGAGATGATTGGAACATCTGAATCACATAATTTGGAGGGGTGTCCCAATACTTTTGGCAATATAGTGCAGTTTGCACCAAATTTTTTTACAAACTGACAGCTAAAAGAAGACGAGCTTTTACAAGCTGTTTTGTAAGCCTGATGTCTATGGTTTATGTACTTTAAGTTGTTATTTAGTACATTACATTAATACAGTATTTTTCTCTATAGAGTTGATTATTTTTTTTCTATCTCTTGTACACAATTTAAGAAGATCTTGAATTTTCTTTCAAGAGCAAATCAATATTATTTTGGTCCATTGACGCCGTGCTTTAAACATGTGTTGGGCTCATAGACCGGTGCCTACTCTGCCGCCTAGTCTGGCACTGGTCCCCATGCCTTTAACACTGATATACATGTGAAAGACATGTAAACAAAATTAGGAGCAGAGTGAATCATCCATCAAGATGCAATGAGGACAACAAAGCTTCGACTTACTTCCAATTATGCTGATGCAGGATGGGAACAGACAAATTATTTACATTGTCTAGTTTTAGACCTAACTTATTTTGCATATTAAACAACAGAACATGGCAAAAGGATTACTTACATTTCTTTTTACCTACCATAATGTACTATATTATATGTTCCAGCTATGGTTTTACAGGATGAATTGTCTCCACCACAAACTCCACACTTATCTCTTCTGGCTTTTGAGTTTAGGACATGATCACAACCAGCTTGCTTTAAAAAAAAGATAGAAAGAAGAGCCATGAGAAATAGGTACAATACATCCTGGGCTTAGGTTATACACAGACACCAATAAAAGATAGCCGGACACTCTATCCTTTCCCATTCTATCCCAAGCTAGAGAACAATTTTGGGCTGAATTTCTACTTTAACTAGACTAGAAAATAAGATGCACATCCATCATGATCAGTCTCTCACAATGTCCAGCAGTTTTGGCCCCAAGGAAGGAAAGTCAAAGCCTCCTGTGCAACTGTGACCAATTTCATCCCATGATATAAAAAAAAAACAATTCTTACCTGACCCCACAATGGGTGTTGTATCTTACCCCTGGGTCAATAACAATTTGGGAGTTCTGTGACTATGACAGCACTTCCAATAACAACTAGCCCCCTTCAGCACTCCTGATTCCAGATAAGGGCTCAGATTTCACACAATTCTCAGTTCTCCTATGGTGGTTAGTGAACTGTAGGCTATAAATCACTGAAATGCTCACCTTTAGAAAAGAACCTGTCACAGCTGATGTTACTTAAGAAGTATATACAGTAATGTTTAACTTGCTGTAAGCTCTGCATGGCTTCTTAGTTATCTGTTTCCCTAATTGTGCTTTCTTTTGGGGCAATGGACAGCACTCAGCTGGATGATATTCAGCAGCTACTCTGTATATTGGTCTGCTGTCCTTAACTGGAGCAATGATGGAATAAATGGTTTAAGCAGCTCTACCCTGATGTGCGGCCAATCCTTTCTGGAGACAATATTCAGCTCGACTGCCCGGAAACTAGTACCCATACCAGGAGTTTTTGGTATGTATACTGCTAAAATGTTTTTCACTGAGCTAATGGGACACCTAAATTTGGGCGCCTTCAAAGGATTTCAAAGAGCATTTGCCTTGGTGTTCCCAAATGCACCTCAGTATTCAGAGATTCCAGTTCTATCCTATTTAGGCTGAATGCGGTCAGGTTTTTACTGCCTTCTGTGAATCCATTGTGGTGATTTCCTCTTACTTTCTCTCCACTTGGGGAACCTCTAGCTCTCCTCATGCACACTGTAAAGCTTAAAATGTGTTTTTTTTTTTCCCCTACAAAGGTTTTCAGCATCAAAAACATGGTAAAAAGCCATGTATTGCATGCATGTTAAAGTGCGTTAATGTGCGTTCATGCGTCTGGTGCATTCTATTGGCCAGAATTCTGTGCCAACAATGCAAATTTTTTCACTTTTGAGCATTTTTTTATGGTAAACTCCTGAAAAAGCCTATAGTGTGCATGGACACTGGTGGAACTGCTGGAACAGCAGCAGTTTTTGTATTCTGTGCAACAACTACATCAGTATTCAGTGGAGATATATTCTTAAACCAGTAGATGGCAGTGTTTATAAGTTTGTAGCTACGTCTATGGTAAACTCTATGTCTTTTCTCTGAATAAAGTTTCCTGTTTCCTTGTTGCAGTGAACCAGAAAAGTGGACAGTTCACATATGCTAAGATATAGAGGGGAGTTTACAGGCACAGAAAAATAAAAGCTCAAAACAGATCAAACTCCTGTAGGAGCAGCTTCTTTGAGCTGCAAGGTGTACAAGGCCTAAAAAGAAATATTCACATTGTTGTCTTTGTCCACATTAGAGAAACTTTCTGTGACTTTCTGTCCGCCAATGACCCTTCACTAGGACAGGATGTGAGGGAACATCTACTCAGTCTTCATTGAGAATAAGTGTTATAATTACAGCCTGGAAAGAGTTAATTATTATAAAGGCCTCAAGGCCATGGCAGAATATGAACTGTGATTGACATAGGGATATGTCGCCCTTTCTCTTGCACTCTGGTACAATAGTTCTTTTCAGGGTGACTCACAACAATACAGGAACATTTACATAAGTTCATTCAAACAAAAGAGCTGAAACATTGACATAAAATGAAGTATTTGCACGTTTCAACAAAATTTCTCTTCCATTGTAACCCTATAGAACTTGTCATTTACAGATGAGTGAATAATAGAAACTAAACGTCTTAATTCAACAGTAAAATAAAAGCTGAAAAAATGTAAAAAATTATAAATGATAAGATGTAATAAGACATAAAAAATGAAAAGAAAACTGTCAAATGCTTAAAATATTGTAGGCAACAGCTACTGGTAAAAAAGAACAGACACCTATGGCCTTCCAACAGTAAATTATTTCATACTGGCATTGTTCGATAAACTGGCGAACACGGGAAGGGCGGGCAGTGGGGGAGACTCCCTCTGACTACCAACCTACCCTTCTCCAATCTTCCTCCATCAACTCGCCCCCCCCCCCCCCTTTTTTTTTTTTCCTCCTCATACCCTCCTCTCATATCCTACACAGCCTACTATCTAGATTCACATATTCTTCCAATCTTCTCTGAAAAAAACAAAAAATTTAAGAAAAGCCAGTTGCTAGTCGCAGGCTGAGTATGCAGGACCCAATAGTGAGTTCTGAATCTTATGCAGAAGGATTGACATACTCATGTTCAGTCTTAAAGTGGTTGTAAACCTCAGACATAAAACATGAACAAAGTATATCCCTCTATAGTGTGTGTTTGTCCCAGTTCAGAGTACTATTTGTCATTTCTGTCCACTGCCTCGCTCCTCTGCTATCAGCATGAGTCTTCCTGACACCAAGAGCAAAATGGTGAAAGGGAAAGGTACAGCCTGTGATTGACAGCCTCAGCTGTTCCTGTGTGCTGTGTGAAGGGGGTGTGTCCCTTCCCTCCAATCAGCTCTCAGAGCTCTCCTCACTAATGTAACTTCAGCTCCCCGCCCCCTGCTTTTCAGAGCTGAGAGATCCTGTGTATATTATGCACCTTGAATGGATGTAAAAATTAGAAGACTTCAGATAAACAGGTACAAATTACGTAGGAGGATTTGTTTCTTTCCTGCATCACCTGAGGCCAATCACATCACACTGGGTATATGTAAGGGTTTGCAACCACTAACTATTGGTCATAACATTCTGTAATGTTGAAATTTTCGCTATGTATTGCATGGAAGCTTGATTGACCTGAACTTCTATCTTTGTATTATACAAAAGGTACTATGTACAGGCTGTGGAACAGAGCTGTAATAAGGAGGAGGACAGAGATGCTGCTGCCCACGGATGAGCCAGAGGGGGAGTCCAGACCAGGTTGTGCATGCCCTTAAAAGGATCCGGCTGACCTATTGTTTTTTTTGTGTTCTCAAATGCGTGATGTTATTGCGCATCTGGTGAGTGCGCAATTCTTCTATTACCTGACACATCACCATATGATTGGAGATAGGAATTGGATCACCATACCCTGAGATCTCTATATTGGATCTTCCTTTCCTTTTGGACTTTGTCACTTTATCAACACTATAAGCCACCTTGAGTGGCATTACGTTTATTATTATTTATATCATTCACTTTGTCACTTTATGTACTCATAAATGTCATTATCTATGGTCACTTTACAAGAACCAATGTCATTTTACAGTTAACTTTGGATTAGTGATATAATTATTTATTGATTTCTGCTGGTTTGTGATTGACTTTACGGTCTGTTGGATTTATTGCACTTTATTTTGTTATTTTGATCTCAGCGCTGCACCTTCTCTATGCATTACTATCTTTGTATTGCATTGGCAATTCTCTTAAACAAAGAATTTCTAAAAGGAAAAAAACATGCAGAATACTTACCTTACCCAGCACTGTCATATGGTGGTTACTACAGGATGTCTGCACTGCAGCTTCAATGTCTAGTTTTTTTTTCTGTGTATACAACTGCGAAAGTCTATGGGCAATATTTATTAGCTCAGTTTTACTAATAAAGTCAAAACTGATTAATCACTAAAAGTATTGATAGCTCCGTATAAGAAGTAAACCCTAAGGCTTCATTCAGATACGGCCAAATATCTGTGGCTAGTTTGCTGCATTTAGAGGCCAGTTTGTGTGCGGTCACAATTCTGCAGAAACACCAACCCTGGACGCACACCGGCTGGGTCCTAGGTTGGTTTTTGCACGTAACCACTCAAGTTACATGTTACCAGCAGTGGCGCCTGTCATTGATTTGTACAGGGTGCTGCTGACAACTGCTTCTGGTTGCACACAGTGTGTGCAAGCATCCTTTACAACAGGCAAGAAAGTCCTGGCTGCATATATCCGGTCTAACTAAATGACTGCAAAGCAATAATGGAAAGGGTAAGGCACGTTGATGAGTGAAATTGAGATTTTTTAACTTCACCGAAAATCAGGACCTTTCAGCGAAATGCATTGAAGTCAATGGAGAAAGCCCCACCCTGGTCTAATGTTAAATCTACCAATGTAATGAAGCTTAATAAAATAAAGCTATGCTTTACCACCACTTCCAATGCTATAAGCCCTCATGCACACTGGACGTTTTTACAGCGGCTTATCCTATGTTATCCTATGTGTCCATGCACACAGACTATAATCAACATTTTTTGGTAGGGAGCTTTTTTGGCTAGAAAAAAAAACAGGACTAGTGGGTTTTTTAGCTGTAAAAACGCTCTAATGCTGAAAAACGTGGCAAAACACGGTAAAAACCGGTGTTTTTGGACTTCTTTTTTACCCCCCCCCCCCCATTTTGTTTGTAAAAAAAAAAAAATGCTAAAAAACGCGAATGCGGTAAAACATAGGAAAACGCCGCTAAACACAACAAAACGCTGCTAAAAGCTAATGCAAAAATGCTAAAAAAGCTGAAAAACTCACATTTTTAACGTGGCTTTACACAGCTAACAGTTACCAGCGTTCTCAAAACATCCGATGCATGAGGACTAAGGGTGTATTTTGTTGAATAAACCCTCGATGCTCTTTGTTCAGATCCATTATCATTTTTGTACGAACTACTGTATATTTACTCAAAATGTATAATAAAACCGATTGAAAGAAAAAACAAATGAATGTTATTTTTTTAACAAACACATTTTACAGATATTTTTTACTGATTACTACAGATGGAAAAAAAAACGTGGCTTTTAGTAGGGACCACAAGCATTAAATTCAGCACAAGCATTAAATTCATGCACAAATCAAGTGAGTAACTATTTACCCGACACAGTCCTTGCACGCAGATGTCATTTGTGTCTGGTCCGCATGACGTCCCATCCACTACTCTGTCCCTGAGCTGATAATAGGCTGTGCTTCCTGCCACGCGGCAAAACAGTTTACAGCGATCCTTCATTAGAACTGCGGACAGCGAGGAAACAGTTTGTCAATAACATTTCATTTCAGAAGCTTCGATTTGAAGAGGCGCTCTGGGTACTACTTACTTCCGCTGTACTTTGGCACCCAGCGGACGTTCGGAGGTAGACCATTGATATTAAAATGTTTTCCATCAAAGTCAGCACACTGTTCTTCACGAAAGTCCCTCTTTTGCTTAGTACATTGTTCAGTGTTGCAGGATTTAAATTTCATTCGGCGCCCCACGCAGTATTTGCCGCCATTTCTTGGCCTGCAGAAAATAACAAATATTTTTTTCTGGTTACATTGTGATATAACTTTTCATTATGTCCACCTGTTTACACTTTTGGCCATGAAAAATGATCGAAGATAAATATACGGTACATATCTCCCTACAGGACCCATATATAAAACAGCCCAAGTGTGCCTATAGACATTACAGGGTGGTTGTAGTTGTCAATATGATGTGATCAGACTGACCTCCAGCTAAATACTCTACAGAGCACTGCAGAACATTACAACCAACACATATGTTCAGCTAGGCAAAGTACACACCTTTAAAAAAGTGATACTAAACTAAAAGATATAATGGTTTCCCGAAATTGTTACATTCAAGGCATGCCATGATTGATAACTGAAGAAAATATTGTTGTGCTTATGAATAGAATCTTAGTGCAATAAACACAAAAAGCAAACAAATACCATATGTGCTTTCCATATGGTATTGGCATGAATGATAACTGTCACATTTGCTTGTGCTCTAACTGAACTGTTAAGACCAGGGGCGGACTGACCATTCGAGCACTCGGCACTGCCCGAGGGCCCGGGGTCAGTAGGGGGCCCCATAAAATGCCTCTGGTACCTTTCATAGGCTTTTTTTTGGTGTGTTTTGAGTGTGGGCAAGGACACAGGGGCCCCATGATCCCCAACTGCCCGGGGGCCCCATGAGTTGTCCGTCCGCCCTGGTTAAGACTTCAAATAGCTGATCTCTTAACCACTTCCAGTCCGGACACTTTTACCCCCTTCCTGTCCAGGCCAATTTTCAGCTTTCAGTGCTATCACACTTTGAATGACAATTGCGTGGTCATGCAACACTGTACCCATATGAATTTTTTAGCATTTTTTTTTGAGACAGATAAAGCTTTATTTTGGTGATATTTATTCACCACTGGGATTTTTTTTTTTTTTTTGCTATGTAAATGAAAAAGTCCAAAAATTTGAAAAAAAGTGTTTTTCTTATAAAATTTTGCAAATAAATAATATTTCATCATAAATCTTTGCCAAAATTTATTCCGTTATCTTTTTAGTAAAAAAAAAAATAACCCAAATTAATTTATAGCCAAAAATTATAATTTGTAAACATTTTTTTTACATTTTTATTTTTTTTTTTTATATTATTATTATTTTTTTTACATACTGACACTGTACTACTTGTGGGGGTGATGAAGATTTTTTTTTTTTTTTTTACTCTGATTGCTTTTACACCCATAAAGGCTGTAAAAGCAATAATGTCTCCTTCTCTCTGGCTGCATTCTTGCAGCCATTGAGAACTACTGTGTGAGCAGTGATTGGTCACAGCTTGTCACATGGTACAAGGCTGTTGTGAATAGCCTTGTACCATGTGACCTCTGTGATCATTCACAGATTTCACACATAGCAAGCAATGATGTCAGAAGTGACATCTTGCTTACTACTCTTAGCCAATCAGTGATCACATGATCGGGACCTCGCACAGAGGTCCCGTATGATGATCGGTGTTCAACTGTGTCCGGAGGACACAGCAGGCACCAGATTGCAAGGGGGGCAGGGAGGCCGTTTATAAACGGCCACCCAACCCTGCACTGCCACCGTCCGGCCATTTATATACAACGGCCGGACGGGAGGTGGTTATATGATCACATGTGTAGCACCATGACATCTACAGATCAAACAGAGGATAAGATGGCAGCTTCCTTGGCTGTAAAGGATAGGAGAGTTTAGTTCCACTTTAAGGCAATGCAGAATAGAGGGAACCAGCCAATCCTGACTGCTCTGTATATCAGCCTTTCCCAACCAGGGTGCCTTCAGGCTTCTTCAGAGGCACCTTGGCAAAATGCCCCAAAATTTTTATAATTTTTGTACTAAATCCTGCTTTTTAGTACACAAAGCCACACGTTTTGATTGTGCACTTTTATGACCTTCTAGCTGCCAGCATCCTAACAACCAATTACATCATTAGTTGATAAGGAGGACACCGGGTGCATGCACATCATTCTTGTTTTCCCCTCTCCATCAGCACTGGGGTCACATTAGAAGAGTGAGGGAGAGACACACTGGAATACTAGTCAGTACCAGTGTGCAAAGGTGTAGTTGCTTTGGAAGAAAAAATCACCTCTAATGTTGGGTGTACTGGATGTGTGTAGCATAGTTTTTTTTTTCATTTTAGATTGGGTTGCCTTGAGATTGTGCAGAATTTGAAAGGGTGCCTTGAGATTATCCATAGTTTTAAAGGGTGCCTTGACAGAAGAAAGGTTGACAAACACTGCTGTATATCATCATTGTATTAAGTAGGGAGCCATTTATTGGGCATTCACAGCAACTGCACCTGTTTTTATTATTGAAGTGTTTCATGTTTATTAAGAATAAATATTTCCCATAAACCACTGCAGCCATTCAGCTTCTAGAAGAACACCAGTGAAGGTTTCCTCTATTCTCCCTTTGATACACATATGCCTGAAAGTTCTCTCATTGTGTTTGTTAAAGTCACATACATAGCTAATTCGCATTTCAATTCATTCAACGTGATTCGTAGGTAGCTGTTTCCAAGAAATGTATTGAGTGTATGCATTTGTGAGAGACATGTATACAAACATATTGTAATTTCAATTTATGTGTCTGTGTTGCAGTTTTACAGAACTATTCACAGACGTAAATTCAGTTTTGGAATGAAATACAATGCTGCATCTGCCAGTTTTGTTAGTTAGCTATCAGCTAATAGTTAGTAGGACAGCATACTGACATTAACAGTTGGGAAACAATGGTTTGTACCCATAAGGCGGTCAAAGAAATTTATCTGCTGTTAGGGTAGATAGTGGGGCAGGCCATCTTGGGTGTGGTCAGTAGAATATCACTCTGGGGACAATTTTAGACAAGAGCCAATTGACCTACCAGCATGTTTTTGGAGTGTGGGAGGAATCCGTGCCTCAATTTGGCCCAACTTCTTTGTAATAGTTCTAAGTTGAAGAAGAGTAAAACATTGCTAATTGATTCCTATCTGTGACCCTAGCAGGGAGAATATTTTCCTATTCCCTGTGCATGCTGTCATTGGAATAGAAAGACAAATATAGCAAAGAAAACTTTGCCAGAGTTTCTAACCCCATTTGACCAAAAATGTGTTTTTGACAGGGTCTCCATTAGAAAGGCTAAGGCTGACCATAGGCCAAGCACTATTATTTAACTACAGTGTAATTTTCAGGACCTGGCTATGCTGTTTTACAAGAGTACCTAGATCATAGGGGGCACATGGGGCATCATTGAGCATCATGTGACAGCACAGTGGCTAAATGGTTAGCACTTCCGCCTGGCAGTACTAGGGTCGTTGGTTTGAATCCCAACCACGACACCACCTGCTTGGAGCTTGCATTGGTTTCCTCCGGGTACTCCGGTTTCCTCCCACACTCCAAAGACATGCTGGTAGGTGAATTGGCTCCTGTCTAAATTGGCCCTAGTATGTGTATGTATGAATGTGAGTTAGGGACCTTAGATTGTACGTTCCTTGTGTGTTAGGGACTGATGTGACTGTACAATATACAGTATATATGTAAAGCGGGCTATATAAGTACCTGTAATAATAACAGGATTGGTAGAACAGAATTACAAATCCTTTAGTGGATAGCACAGTTAACATACATGTAGTTTGGTGAAATATTTTCCTGTCTGCCAGGCATTCATTTATAATTCATTTGGGAACTTCTATATAAATAGGCCCAAATGATTGGAACATGAAAAGAAATAGATACATCATGCTCAAAGAAGAAGTAATAGTACTTGTGTGTAATGTGCTCTTACTCTGGTCTGTTGCACTCCCGGATGGCAGTTTTAATTCCCCCGCTGCAAGATCTGGAACAAGCCCCGAAAGGGCTCCATGACCCCCAGGAGCCATCAATAACGGAGGAATCGCGCTCTTTCGGGATACACACGCCATACCTGCAGTGCTGTGGTGAGGGTAAACAGAAGTAATACAGATGTAATACACTGTGCTGTCTGCAAGGCATAAGCAATGGAAGTATTCAACTGTGAAGAAATCATGTTTTATTTACAAGTTCTCAAACAACTCTGCTTCCGAGAATATAAATGATTTATTCATATTTACCCTTGTTTGAGGTGAATAGTACATAAAAAAAATCTTCTCTGCAGAAATAATGACTGTGGAAATCAGGTTAAAATTATGTTTTCTTTTCAATAATGTTTATTGAAATTTTTTAAAAGTTGAAGTATAAAAAGTACATAAACTAGCCAAAGTTAGAAAGTTACAAGGCCAGGGCTTCAATACAGCTTTTATAGTCACATAATGGAACAAATATTCATAGTTTTATAAAGCTGTGGATTACAGCCAGGAGGGTAACAGGCTTGCCTATGGGCAGAAAAAAATTTAGAGGTATAAGAGAGCGTAGTGAAATAGAGAAAAGGTGGGGATAGGGGCTTAAAGTGGTTGTAAAGCTCAGACATGAAATATAAACAAAGCAAATTCTTCTATAGTGTGTGCTTGTCTCAATCCAGACATGAAATATGAACAAAGCAAATCCTTCTATAGTGTGTGCTTGTCTCAATCCATGTGTCATTTTTGTCTGCTGCTTCATTCCTTTGCTGTGAGCTTGAATCACTTTTGACAAGATTTCCTGACACCAAGAGAAAAATGGTGACAGGGGAGGGACCTCCAGCAGATTGACAGCCTCAACTTTGTTCTTGTGAGCAGCGTGAAGGGAGTGTATCTCTTCCCTCCAATCAGCTATCAGAGCTCTCCTCACTGAGTTCTGCAGAGTGTAATTTCAGCTCTCTGACCCTTTTTTCTGAACTCTCCGACAAACTTTATAAATTCTGCACTTTGAACAGCTGTAGAGAAGAGAAGACTTCAGGCAAAAAGATACAACTTTTGTAGGATTTGTTTAATCTCTGTATCACCTGAGGCCAGTCACTTCACTTGTTTTATGTATGGGTTTACAACCACTTTAAGGGGATCTGTGGTTAAGTGGCTATTATGAGCCACCTGGGCCAGTCTAGGGAGTCATCATTAAAGTGGATCGTCACCCTCCACACCCTATTTTAGGCATTCCACTCCTACACCTCTCCTCTCAGAATCAGATTTTTTAAAATTACTTTTTTTGGGGTAACACTTCCCACAATTTCTGGATTCTCACCTAGGAGGGATTGATGTATTCAGCTGCCTGCAGTCTCCTGGGATACTTATGTCATGCATCCAAGGAGACCTAGGGATCCTTTGCAGCACAAGTGCAGCTGCACATCACCTGGGGGGAGAGGTGGGGTTAGCTCTTTCATGGCACATACATATCACCAGGGGACAGGTTGCAAAGAACCCAGAAGAGACAACTGTATGTCTTCAGAAAAGAAGATGACAGCACGGGACTGGGTGAGCAGCATCCGAGCAAAAGATCCCTACAAAATACAGCTGGATCGGCTGCGCATGCAAGTGGATAACTTAGCAAAAAAGGTAAGAGAAAGAAAAAAAGAAAAGCTCTCTTTAAAGCTGAAAGGGGTGAGAGAAGCAGTCAAAGTCTGAGGGTAGGTAATGTTGGGGACCACACCTTCTTAAAGAGAGCAATTCTATCGATTTGTATAGAAGTAATTGTATCATTAGCGATTGTCCAAAAGGATCTGTGGTCAGGAGACTATTCCAAGTCATTTGGACCAGTCTAGAGAATCATCATTCAAGTTAAAAGGCAAAAGTCAAAGTCTGGGGGTAGGTTATATTGGATCCATGGGGACTCCGCCTTCCTAAAGAGAACCGTTCTATCAGTATAGCAGTAAATTTATTATTAGTTATCATCCAAGGGGACCTTTGGTCAGGGGGCTACTCCAAGTCATCTGGACCAGTCTAGAGAATCATCATTTCAGTTAAGAGGCAGCAGTCAAAGTCTGGGGGTAGGTTATGTTGGATCCATGGGAACCTGCCATTCTTAAAGAGGACTGTCCTATCGTTCAATATAGCACTAAGTTTATCATTAGTTATCATCCAAGGGGACCTGTGGTCAGGGGGCTACTCTGGGTCATCTGGACCAGTCTAGAGAATTATCATTAAAGTTTAGGAGGTAACAGTCAAAGTCTGGAGATAGGTTATGTTGGATCCATGGGAACCCACCATTCTTAAAGAGGACTGTTCTATCATCCAGTATAGCAGTAAGTTTATCATTAGTTATCATCCAAGGGGACCTATGGTTAGAAGGCTCCTCTGAGCCATCTGGATCATTCTAGAGAATCATCATTAAGCAGACAACAGTCAAAGTCTGGGGACTAGGTTAAAGTTTAGGAGGTAACAGTCAAAGTCTGGGGATAGGTTATGTTGGATCCATGGGAACCCACCATTCTTAAAGAGGACTGTTCTAACATCCAGTATAGCAGTAAGTTTATCATTAGTTATCATCCAAGGGGACCTATGGTTAGAAGGCTCCTCTGAGCCATCTGGATCATTCTAGAGAATCATCATTAAGCAGACAACAGTCAAAGTCTGGGGGTAGGTTATGTTGGATCTATGGGGACCCACCCTTCTTAAAGAGGGCCATTCTAATGATCAGTATAGAGTAACTGTATTGCTGGCCATCGTCCATGACACTGTATTTAGGTTAGTGGATGAAATAGTTTTCTACAGTCCAATAGTAGTGCATCTTTGAAATTTGAAGGGTGAATTGCTCCACAGTGCTTGCAGTTACAGAAGTCCGTGAAAGCTTGTTTTAAAGTTCATTTATTGTTTGTAAAGAATATGAAAACACATATCAATAGCTATTCATTCAATTTGAATGGCACTCCAATGAACCTAATTAGAGCACTGGAGGCTCTTGTATTGTAGTATACTACAACACATAGATGTGAACCATGTCTAGTTTAATTGTGGAGCTTAGTTGTGGAGTGTTGCCATCCTATTCAAAATGAATGGATTGCCTAACACAATGAACGTTAAATAGAGTATATGTATGTTACCAAAAAGCAGTGAAGTATATTGGCCCTTAAACTATAAAAGTAGAAATAAGACTCAGTTAGGAATAACTGACTGGAATGCATGAGTCAGTATACACAGAGCAGGAACAGCTAAGAGTCTGCAATGACAATTGCTAAATCTTTGTAATGTATTTAATTGTGCTGGAAAGGTCTTTCTTTCTAAATGTATAAATTCACTTTGAGTGCAGAATCTTCATGTTTGACTGATGCGTTCCTTTAAAGAATGTGATTATATTTCCTAATTTCAGCACCGCAGGAATCAGATTGCGCTGATAAAGCCAGTGCAGCTTCCTTTACAATACAAGAGAGTTTTATTTGATTAGAGACACCAGAGCTCCATTACTACTTATATGGCCAAGGTAGTTTCAATAATCCTCAGGAAGAAGCTGACAGCTCCATCAGTCAGACCTGCATATGGAAGATTGAGCTGAAACAATGGTTTGGCCAGGGTACTGGTTAGAATGCACAAGTAACAATATAGCTTTTCGCCTTTTAAATGATCAATAGGTAAAATACCTGCAGAGATTAGAATACAGCCTTTACTGCTTGTTACGCATTAATAGAGCAACCAGTTAATTATGGACTACTAATGCAAATAAATAGCGTTTAGACAATCATAGAACACATGAAGTCATGCTGATTTAACTAGTTAAAGGAATGACACTTTCAAACATGGAAATTCAGCAATTCAATGGCTAGGCCATTAGGAGCATGAACGTCTACATGCCAACAGGTTTTCTAGAGTAAAATTCCCTGGTGCTTTTCAACATACGCGGCTGTACTCATGTAAACGCTGATCGCTTCTGCATCGCATACAGTTTACTTCCCCAAACATGAAAGTGGCATGTTTGGAGGAATACATTGTATGCAGAAATGAACAGCATTTACATTAGTATGAAAGAATACACCAAGTTCCTTGCATTGGCAGTTGTACTTGGCACCTGCAACTCCCCAGGCGCGGGAAAGCAATGGGGAGTTTACGCTGGAGGACGTGTCAGCAAGTTAATGTTCATGTGCATAGAGGCCATAGAGTGAAAGAGTGATTCCCATGGCTGGCTGTAACCCCGAGTTCATACACCCATCAAAATACAGAAAACCTGCGGCATCATATATTTTAAACCAGACCGAAACTATTATATGGACTATCTGTCAACATGACTCTCCTGCCACACAAAGTATACAGATGATAAAAGAACTGAACAAATACTTATACTTAGCCTTAATATTATTTACTGTATGTAGTAACATTATGCCCCATGATGCTGCCAGCAGTACTAGAGGTTGGAATTGGCAACGCAATGCATGAAATGACTAGTACATACAGTTTTTGGTCGAAATGTAGCAATAAGAAGACACAATAGGAGAGAGGGCTAAATAACCTACTTTTTCCATATTCCTCTGGTGATGGCCACATGACCAATTGGTAAATGGGTTCACATGTCCCGACAATTAGTCAAACGACCAGCAGATATGTGTTCTATCAATGGTGACTTCTTTGCTCTTAGGGGGAGCAGTCCTCTATAACTTTATGATACAACTTTAAACCCAGAATGAATATTTCCTGGCTTCGTCACACAGCACTAGGCAGGGGTGACATCATCATCCTTCCAGTCAGATCTTGGAGAATGCTGAGTAGCCAAAATCTCACAAGAAGAATAACCTGCATTGTGTTTCAGTCTCTTCTCATGACACTACTCAGCATTTCCAGGGATTTTGTCGGCAGAAAGTGGCATCACCCCTTGCACAACAGAAGTGGAAAAGGTAAGTATATTATCTATTTTTTGCACTTTTATGCATCATTTAAAGAAGGCCACACTGAATAAGTGGACCTTGCTTTAAGTTGCTTTGTACATTTTTTATTATGTTCTGGACCAGTGGTCTCCAAACGGCAGCCCGGGGGCTGGATATAGTCCTTTGCTAGCCTTTTTCTGGTCTTTGGGGCACTAGTCCACCAGCTGACACCAATGATGGGGCACCATTTCCC